TCAATGATGTATCTGATCTTGTCGACGGTTCAAAGTTGGACGGCAAGGAGTTACCCTGAACCCCAACAAGACTCCAACTTGGGTGCGGGTGGGTCTAGATCAAGATGTGTGGCGGGATCGATATTCGCAGGGTGCTTGTGTCAACTGCGGTGAGTACGGTCATCAACAATTTAGGTTCAAGAACACGAAGGTTACACAGAAGATCGGTCCCAAAGGTGGCTTTGGAGAATCGTCCTCCCAAAGTGGAACCTCTCCAAGTTCCAGTTTGAAAAACTCATCGGGCCAATAGAAGTTATAGGTGCTTCTACTCTTAATGAAGTGGGTGATGTACCCTCCCCACTTCAAGAGTTAGTCGAAGCTATCGACTCTTCAGTCACCCCGCGGACGCATCCTGACTCAACGATACTATGTTCGTTGGATGTGTCTGAAGCCTTAGAGGACTTCCAAAATGAGTGGTCAGCAAGGGACCCTCACGAGTCTTGGGTGACACTTAGTAGAGGTCATAGAAAGGAGCACTTCGTTGTGAAAGTTGGTGTAGGTGGCCGCAAGTGTGGCGCCTTCGTAGACATCAGCTCCACGCGAAACTTCACAAGTCACCAATGCGTTGAGAGATTGCGCCTAGGGGACAGCGTGCATCGCCTTAATAGACCAGTAGCATCTACTTTGGCCAACAATGAGCGCATGTTGGTTGAAGACTACGTCAAGGAAGTAGTTTGCACCTTCTATTACGGAGGTGGCGAACTCAATCATAGGATTTCGTTCCTAGTTAGCGATGACTTGCCATTTGACATGTTGTTGGGTATGTACTACCTCGAGGTTGCCAAGCCCCAGTTTGAGTAGGACCTAAAAGTGCTAAAGCATGTACTACTGGAAGGGAGGACAATCAGACTTGCGAAGTACAAAGCTAGCTGTTTGATAGACACTTATGGATGTATGTGTGCATCAACCTTTTATAACTACTATAAATAAAACCAAAAGGAGGGTATGTACTTACCTCTTTGTCTCTGAGAAAAATGAGGTTGTTAAAACACCCCCAGAGATAGAAAGTGTTGACATGAAATACCCTGATCTGTTTGAAGAGCCTTCAGGAGTCATAGAAAAGGAGGTTGTCCATGCCATAGAGATCATCCCTAGGAGCAAGATACCCAAAGGGAGAATCTATAGGATGGCTCCGACCGAGTTGGATGAGCTTCGTTGACAACTGAAAGAGCTTACAAAAAAGGGATGGATACAGCCCAGTACCTCCCCTTTAGGCCCACTAATCTTATTTGTCCCGAAATAGAGGGGGGCATTGAGGATCTGCATTGATTATAAAGGCCTCAATGCCATCACCGTGAAGAACGCAAAGCCTCTACCATGCATCGATGACCTGTTGGATAGGGTGCAGGGATGTAAGTACTTCACTAAGATAGATTTGAAGTCCGACTACCATCAAATTGCCATTAGACCTGAGGACCAGCACAAAACCGCATTTCAAACAAAGAACGGTCTTTATGAGTTTGTGGTGATGCCCTTTGGCCTTTGCAATGCGCCGGGAACATTCCAGCATGCCATGAATAGGATATTCCATGACTACTTCGATAAGTTTATCATTGTGTACCTCGACGATATTCTTATCTTTAGTAGAATAGCCGAGGAGCATGCTCGCGCGCACTAAAATCTTGTACTTGGGTCATGAGATATCTGCAAATGTGATCAGGCCTGAAGATGCTAAGGTGGCTAACATTCGTGATTGGCCACGATGTCGGTCTGTGACCGAGGTCAGATCATTCTTAGGGATGACTGGCTACTACGGCAACTTTGTCAAAAACTATGGTACGGTGGCCAGCCCTTTGACTGATCTAACTCGCCTTGACTTCATAGGAATGGACCGACAAGCGATTGAAGCATGCTCTCACGCACCATGAGGTTCTCATGGTTTCCCAATCCTCAATAGGTCATTTGTAGTGACCACTGATTCAAGCCAATATGGCATTGGTGCAGTGCTGGCTCAACAAGAAGGGAATAAGTTGAGGCCAATCGAGTACATGAGCATAAAGACGCTTTCTAAGAAGTTGGAAAAGTCCACCTACAAAAGGGAACTCTATGCCCTTTACAAGGCACTTGTCCATTGGAGACACTATCTGTTGGGAAGATTCTTCTATCCGAGGACTGCCCATCAGACCCTCAAGTGGATATAGACACAACCTGCACTCAAACGTTGGATTGTGGTCATAGACCACTATGACTTCAAACTAGACTGTTGTTAAGGGAGAGTATAACAAGGTTGCTGATGCGCTGTCACGTAGGGCACATTACCTGGGTGGGCTAATTACTGAGTTTGGCATATCTGATAATGTAACTCGATTGCTGGTAGCAGCCTACAAGGAAGACACTGTCACGATGGGCATCATCCGCAAACTTGAGGCCCAAGATAAGGCCACATCTGATGAGTTTGTGGTGGTGGATGAGTTACTCTTTCTTAAAAAGGCCGGGTTCAAAAGATTAGTAGTTCCATCTAGGGAGATTTTGCGTACTTCATTGTTAGGTGCGTGCCACGACGCAACGGGACATTTCGGCCATAAGAAAACTACTGCTAACTTAGTACAACGATTTTGGTGGCCTAACATGCTGGACGATGCAAAAAAGTATGTACATACCATGGCTACCGTGTCTGGTCCAATCCGAACATCTTCAGGACACCGGACAAAACCAGACCCGGACGGTCTGGATTAAAAAACAAACAAACAAACAAACAAACAAACAAACAACAACAACAACAACGTAGTGCTAGTCGATGGTTCTTCGTACCAACTGCTGATTGCAGAAGTGGACAGCAAGTGTCAGCAACCCCCAAGAGTTTGAGATACTAACTTAATCATACTTACCTCTTATAAATTCCAAGCCTGAAAAAGGCCACGTCAACCCCCTCCATGCATCCATCCCTCTTCCCCCTCGTGTCAACCCTTATTCAAGACCCAACAAGCTGCGTCGTTCAAAGATGACAAAAAAAAAAAAAAGAACGAAAGGGCATCCATCCATCCATCCCCCTACTCATGAAAGGATCGTCAGTCATATAAATAAAGGTGCCAATGGGAGGGATGGAGGTGGATGATTGCTGTGGAGTATGAGAAGCTGCTGCGACAGGCTATCAAACATATAAAGAAATCTCAGGAAGCTATCATATGAGAACAAGCATCGCCGACAGTCCCCCTTTCAGGTAGGAGAACGTGCCTGGGTTAAGGCTAGTGAGTTGGGACAGGAGTTTGGCATCTCTATGAAACTAATGCCTCAGTATTTCGGTCCCTGGGAAGTCTTAGATATTGTGGGTACTGAAGAGGATGGTCCCTCATACGTTCGTATCCCTGGTCACCTACGCACTTACCCTGTGTTTCACGCCTCAAAGCTGGCACCTGCTTAGACAGAGCAGTTCCCATCAAGGAGATCTATGCTGCCCCCAACCATGGATGGCCATGTGGACGTCCACGACATCTTGGAACATAGAGGCATGCCTGTTCCCAAATCAGCTGGCAGGGGAAGACCGCCTAAACCTATCAGAGAGTACAGAGTCCGGTTCAGGCATCATACGCATCCAAAGAAAGATCGTTGGTTCCCAAAGGAGGAACTTATCAAGATAGCTCCTCAGATCGTGGCTGAGTACGAACGAAGACTGAAGGGGAAGGCACCTGCATGAAGTATCTCAACGGACTTTCGAAGCAAAGGGGGGTGGAATGCGAGGAATGAGCCCTCGCGGGGTCTTTATCAGACATGCATATGTTCTAGGCAGAGGCCCTCAGAAAGCCCAGTCCCCTCCCTAAGCGAAGGCGGGCCCGAATATTCACAAGAGGCCAAAATTTGATATTATTTTCCATATGTGGGTACTCAGGCAGTTGCCGCACGACAGTTGTTTACATGGAAATGTGAGCCTACCTGCTGCACCTGCACGTTGTGCCTCTGCACCCACATTGTGAGGCAGATGCATCACGAAGTGGCCAAGGACGTACAAAAAAGCAGCATTGTCGACGTACGTACCCCGGGGCCTGTACAGATGCATCAATCAGCTGGAGTCTGGAAATGTTGGGTGTGCCCAACTGTAAAGGCCCCAGGCCCTCAACTGCAGAGTTGGGCCCAGTGGAAGCTTCGCAGCCAGGCTCACACGTAGCCATGCAGAGGCTGCCACTTCCATATAGGAAGTGAGGCGGCCAGGGGCTGCCATTCTGGCCCAAGCTGGCAATGTGGTCACGCTGCTGCGCTATTTGGCCAGGGGCTCGCACAGGCGGTGGAGGTGAGGGCGCTGCAGGGGAAGCGGGGCGCTAGCAGCCATAGGTGGGCTGCAGGACGCGGGGGAGGTAGAGGGCAACAGGAGGGTCTTCGGGAGGAGGCGCAGAGAGACAGAGTGGGTGTCAGGCGGTGATGAGGAGAGACGAGATAGTACCTGGTGCTCGAGGAAGGTCGGCTATGGTGTTGACGTCATGTACATTGGTCTTCAAAGTCGAAGTGAGCCTGTTGCATGAATGAGGCTCTAGTAGATAGGCAAGTAGTGTAGGCAGGGCGCTCTGTGACATTGAATACTGTGTTGGTGTGGCCTGAGGGCTTGAACAATGGCTCACGAGTTCAAATTGCTCTTATTTAGATGGAATCTCGGTGCATTTATGCTCTCTGCTTGTACATGGCTATCTTGACATCTGGGTGATTATGCAATTTCGTTTTCTGTATATCGCTTTGCTCATATTCCTTGCACCGGGATCTGATCCGACATTTTTGAGGCAGACATTGATTGGACATTCGACAAGGGACTATTTTTGGACTTCGCTATCGCGATCTTGGTCTTCTTCCTCGCCTTCATCTTCGTCTCGCCTCTCCCCTCATCTCTCATCCGTGGTATCTCCCCGATGTGCGTGTACAAGGAGGGACCTTTCTTCTATGTGCGCGGTCCCTCCTCCTCTCACATGTGTGGTGTATTATGGGATGTCATGTCAGTCCTAGTCAGGTCAGGTCTTATCTTTGAGTCTTCCACTGCTCTACTTTGTGCCATTTTGTTTGTATCGGGATGTACATTGCTTGTTGATGTTTCATTGACATTGCATTGTCCATTCAGTCCTTCTCATCACATTGCGGATCCTTGGCTCCATACACATTGCCCAACGGGGCATGCGTCACATCCTGATTCTCATTACGTGTCTGCAGTTGCAACCTCTGGCTTGCAAAACTCCTGCATCTTCCTGATCAGCCCCATAGGCATAGCCCGTTGGACAGCTGAAGCCATTTGCAGAGCACAGCCAGATTCAGATTGCCATTCTTTTGCTTCACCTCAACTGCAGTAAAGGACAAGTAAGGATTACGTGTGTTCACCCACAGCAGCACCCAGCCAATCCATAAACACGCCCAACTATCCATGCAGCAGCATGCCTTCTTGCTCGATCCATTTGTTCCACCCATCCTTCTGTCCTCCTGCATTTGGCATTGCGCTTCGCTATGTACCACCGACCCCCGCACCCTTGGTAACTCCCTCCCATATCTTCAAGAGAGAAAAAAAAGACTAAGCTTCATCATCTCCAAAGACTTCTGATATACAAACCTGGCCTAAAAGAATCGAAATATTGTTGTGTCAACGAGATACATTATGAACTCTTAAAAAGTTTAAGATGCAATGAATCATCCCGCGCACATTTGCTCCACGAAACCAAACAGATTCGCACATCCACAGACACAACCACTGAGCATCAAATACGAACTGGCAAACAAAGTTCCTGCCTTCCATGAGCCCTTAACACTTTTGACTCTTCAACCGGAACAGACCTCCGATATGTACAGAACCCCAACCCTTCAACCGTAACTTGACAACAAACTCCATTCCGCAGTCAGAAATATGTACCAAGGAGCATGAATCTGATATATGCTTCCCATGCCACATTCGACGGTTAAGTTCCTGAGCCGTCGGATATTGCAACTGCATTATCATGGCAATCCAATTAGCATGATTGGGCCATGGCGAGTGGACACACTCCCACATCTCTCTTCTCTTGCACATGTCAGCAGCAACCCTTGTGCTCATGGCATTGCCGATGCATCGGCGTCATTGACAAGGTTGAAATGCCTGGGTGGACAAGCAATCTGTCATTCACGCTAATCAAAACAAGAAACATGACAGGCTGGCAGACATGCTTGCATAGGGCAAGTCAGAAAATAACAGAGATGTCAGGATGCTCCTTCCTTCCATACACAGTGAAGCACAACGAAGCGTTGTCAATTTCATCGAGGGAAGAAGCCCACTGTACCCATGCCCAATGTGAGGACAATGCCACTGATACCGCCCACAAAAACCTCCAGCTTTGTGTGACCCACAGACTCCTTCAAAGGTATATGCCTCCACCCTTCGATGCTCTGAATTTCCTGCAGCAGCACATCCCCTTCCTGCACGCTGGGCTCGACCGCTGCTGAGCTCCAAAACCTCTCCGTACGATCAAGGTTCTTCATTGGACGGAGCGGGAGCATCTCCAAAATGCGCCCTCGCTTTGGAGTAATAGGACCTATCTCAGCAACCGTCTCTGGTCGACTAGGTGCTGACCTTGCAAGGGGACTGTCACTGAGAGAGGCACTGCCTGCACCTCTTCTGTTCACCCTTCCAGCTAACAAGCCGTGGGCAGCCAGACTCTGCTCCTCATCGTCTTTGCCGAACAATGCTGCTGATGGGGACAGCATTCCACATCCAGGAGCGACTGGTGTGCTGGGACCAGAGGAAGGAGGCGATTCTGAACTCAAAGGAGATACATTGCCTGGGAGGAGGGAACCCGCAGGAAACAGCTCCGGCACCGCTATGGTGTTCAGCACTTCAGCATGCTTCCCAACTGCCCTTCTCACTCCCTATTGCGGAGGGGGGGGGGGGAAGAAGGAAAACACAACCATAGCACCATCATCATCCCATTGTCATTGAAAACTGTTAGATGCTAGACTGCATCGCAGGCAGAGGTGAGCACCAACCACTGCCCTCAAGGCTGTACCTGTGCCACAAAGCAAAGCAGACTATCACTCGAGCACACCAAACGGAAGACTGTACAGACTGCAGGTTCAAACCATAACCATTTGTGTTCCAAAGACCTACTATAAGTCACAGACAACTGCCCCACCCAGGAAACTGGAGAGAGAAAGGGAGAAAAGGACACGAAACCAGGGGCTGTGACCGACTGTTTCGTACAAGTTCCCCCCACCACCAACAGCATGCCTGTTGCAAACAGCAGACAACATGAGGCACACTGAAACCATTCTTTTACCTTTTTCTCTGCAAACTTTTTTTTCTGGAGAGGACATGATGTCTATGGTATTGAAGCAACAGCAATGAGGTTATGATTTGGGGTCACATCATGATCTTCCTGGAGCATGTGTGGACATGATGCCTAGAGGTAATGAAGCATGTGTGGACATTCTGCTTCCTCAGGTGTCTATATCACTTTGGCAATGAGGTTTTGATTTGGGGTCACATCATGATCTTCCTGGAGCCTAATTCTTCCGGCAGTGCTTTTTTTGCTATTCTTTATTCCTCCCTCAACCTTTCATCTGCCTTTCAGGTGCACAGCTTGCCACATTGGCATCGTTCAGTATCTCGTGCCGCGCATGTGTCTGCCATAACACCACACTTGCTTATTCACATAATCGTTGCCATGTTGCTGAGTACTGACTGCAACACTGGCCTCCAGTTTTCACCTAACCCTTTCCACACTGTCACGAGAGGACCGGAAAGAACGTCCCGCTGATGTACCAGTTACCGTGCCAATGGTAAACGTTGGGTAGTCAAGTGCGGAGTGGACAACTGCTGAAAGCTCTAAGTAGCAAGTCCACCTTAAGATGAGTGTTTTTGTTTATTCAAGCATGTCCACCCTCATCACGAAAGTGCGGAGTGGATAACTGCTGAAAGCATCTAAGGAGGAAGTCCACCTTAAGATGGGTGCTTTTGCTTATTCAAGCATGTCCACCCTCATCATGACTGCATTGAACCAAAAACATATACACATTGATGATTGGGGTGTGTGGTGTTTGGCAGAAGACAGTAGGCTGAAACAGCTGATACCCACCATCCCAACTCTATCTGAAGCTGCAGAACTGTCAAATGCAGACTGACTGAGTGTGAATACAAGAAGCATTGCAATAGGACATGATTGTGTAAGGGACATTGTACCAGACCTTGCATGCTCAGAGTTGTCCATTGGGCTGATCATGTGCATCTTCTGAATGCAAGAATTGGCTAATGTACATTGTAGCACGACATCTGGCAAGGCAACAGGCTACATAACATGCTGATGAGCGAGGGATGTCATGGTTCCTCTTACAATCTCTCTGTGAGTAGAACATTCCGCTATAGTCCCTGTGAGCACACTGGTCATTTGCAACCTTCAGTACATAATTCTGCAAGGCACAAGGCCCTCGGCCTGGTTGAAATTGGGGCCTGCGCCCAGTTGTAACTGTCTGTGCCTGCCCTAAGCGAAGGCAGGCCCTGGAAATTCGACGAGACTTCAGAAAAGAGGCCTGTGTGGGTTGCTGCTCCTCGCAGCATCTGCAACCGACCAGTAGGCCCGATGGGTTGTAGATGCCGTAGCCTAGAGAGATGCTGAGCCCTGGCCCCTTACAGTTGAGCCTCAGGCACACTATGGAAGGACCCATGGGCACAGATACCGGGACAGAGACCGTGCAGTCCTGAAGCTGCCATGCCCAGGCAATATCTGCACAAAAGAAAGTGCAGCCAGGCACTACCTCATTATTGCTTGCTGGCTAGTGTGCAGCAGCGCTGCTTCAGCGCTCGACAGCCGGACGCTGGCTGTGAGCAGGGAAGAGCTGGCGGGGCGCAGGGGGGAGCTGCTGGACGCAGCAAGAATAAGCGTCTGCCATCCGCTGCCCGTAGGGGCCAGAAGGGGTAGAGCAAAGGTCCTGGGAGAGGGCGCTGTGGTCGGAGAGGGTGCAAGAGAGCATGTACCTCGTGATGACGAGTGGGCCAGTCCATCCGAAGTCTCCATTTGTCATCTGGCAGCTGCACTTCACAAAGACCTGCTGACGTCATTAGATGCTACGCTAGTCTACGTACTGTCTCATTAGATGCTACGCTAGTCTACGTACTGTCTGATCGTGGTCTGGGCGTCGAGTGCCATATAGAACAGCGACATTGGAAACATTGACAGTGGGGGCGAGATGAGGGCATACATTGTTGTCAATTGAGTTCATCGCTTTGCTCTTATTCGGTGCATATCTCGATGCATTCGGCGCTCTGCTTGAGCACGACTTTATGGCTTTCAATGGGATGATGCGATGTGGTGCTTCGCATTTCCTTGCAATGGCATCAGAGCTGGTTCGTAGGTTCTCTATTCTGGCGCCAGCGCTGTCTGGAAGCTTCATAGGATGTATCAGAGATGCTTCGTTGCATATATTTTCGTTGGCTCACCTGCAGTGTGAACAGGAGATAGCACTGGGCGTGGTGGGTCCCTGGGTTGACAGGAACGCCACCTGCAATCGGACTTGTCTTCTTCGTTACTCAGCATGCATGCAGACAGATGGTGATCAAGCTGGCGACTTGCGCCCACACAAAGCTCAGAGATAACGAAGCCAAAAACACAGATCAGATTCAAACTTGTCTCGATTGGCTATGGCCGATCACTGTACTCCCAGCAACTTGTTCGCACACACACCCTGGATCTCCCTGGATGTCCCACACACACCAACACAACACACTCATACGCACACACACACACACTAACTACACTAACTTGCAGCTATGGCCGCCGTCTACTTCCTAACACTACAAGCGGATATGGCCATGTCTTCCTCCTCTTAGCCCACTTCTCCTACGGGCAACTGCAGACCTCTGTACACAAGACGCTCCGACAGCGCTTCCACACGGCTCACAGGCAGAGCGAACGAATGAATGATCGCTGCCTCTTTATTTATACTTCAGATTGTCAAAGGTTTGTCCTTGAACGTCCGGCCCGGGGTGCTCACAGTCCCGCATGGTACTTGCTGACTTGACAAAGTGCGACCGGGACTGGGTGCCGCTGACTGGACTAGGTAGGGCTGCCCACTTGACCACTTGCCTGCAGGCTGCATCCTAAGACTCACGAAGGGCCAATTCCGGATCTTCCGGAAAGCCGTAGACTTGACCCTTCGATACTGTAGCAGCTACGACCTTGACTCTTCGACACCGTAGCAGCTACGACCCCTACCACTGCTAAGACTGCTAATCTACAGACCTACAACATCAATCAAACAGGCAACCTTCTGGACACAGGTCGCAGGCTCAAGCACACACGGGGGCAACTAGTACTGTACATGGGTAAGGACGAGGTCTAGGGATCGAGCCCTAGGGACTGCATCTGCTACCCTAAAAGTGAAAACCGTTTCACTCCCGCAGCCCTAAATTTGAGGTCCTCTGAGAATACTTCAATGCAAGACAGGACCTTAACGTTGCCTTTCTTTGTCGTAGGCGTGGACAATGTCGGGAGTGGTCTCTAGAAGCTCTGCCTTTGTAAACCAGGGGTCATCCTCAGGTTCCAGATAGGCGAACCTGACCTTTTACTGCTTTTGTGGACGACCCCTACCTCCAGCTCAGAATACTTCCTCTTCCAAGATGCACTCTATATCATGCGTGTCATCCATATCCGGTTCGATTGACGTGACGGGAATTGCTGGCTGGTGACACAAGGTAATAACTTTGATGCATGGAAAACTGGATATGTGTGGAGGTGTCACGGTATCTCTATCGTGTAGGAAGGCCCATCGTCTCCGCCCTTTACTTCTATGACAAGCCACGGTCTCCTATACGTGGGTAACAACTTTTGTGAGATGTTCTCTTCTGGGGCGAACTCCTTCGACTTGATCCAGACTAAATCTCCTACCTGGAACTGCGATGGGCGACGATGCTTATTCGCTTGCTGTGTTACGATCCTGGTCATTCCCAAAGTGCAAATTCACAATGAAAGACAATGCCACCCAATTGCGAAAGAAATGAAAACACTTGCAAAGAGATAGAGACCAAAGAAGAGAGAGAGAAGAAGAAGAAGAAGAAATGCACGAAAGTGGTTCCACGTTCTTAACAGTGACGGCATTCAACCCACGATAATCAATGCGGTCTAAGTTCACCCTCCTTTTTGGGCACAAATAAGACATGAGCACAATAAGGAGATGAGCTGGGGCAAATCCATCCTTTTTCATTTAGTGCTTGCAGTTGTTTCTTGAGTTCTTCAAGTTCCCTAGGAGACATATGATAGATGGGACCCTTGGGAATCTTACTAACATGAATCTCAATCATGTGTTCGATAGCACGCTCAGTGATTCCCGTTGTTTCAGTTTGTAAGTCCTTATACTCATCAAGTAACCTCTCAATAGAAGGAGGGTAGGATGAGGATTATTCTCCTACTCTTTAACGAGCACCATCATCACATCCTGATCCAACTTCTTCTTTGAGACCATAGATTAAAGGTTGGGTAACTCATACAACAAAAAGACAGTGACGAGTCAGAGCCAGACTTATGATACAATTTAATCGCTCTTAATTCGGACTTTTCGTCCTTAAGCCTTACGATCTTGTCCTTGAACCTAACTTCTAGGTCGGCTTCCTCGTGCCAATCCATTCCCAGGATCATGTCAAAGGGTAGGTTCTTCTCAATTAGGAAGGGTATTTCGTGTAAGATCTTTTTTCCTTCCTTAGTCTTGAAAGGACATTTGGCATGATCGACATATTGAGATACAATAATCGTGCTCTTGTCAACTAACAGAGACGTGATAGGTCGCGGCAAGTCCCTTACCTTCATTCCCAGATGCAACTTACGAATTGCCTTCTCTGAGATGTAGGACCGCGTTGATCCTGGATCTAACAAGGATCCTGG